AATAGCCAGGTGTGGTGGTGGGTGCCTGTAGTCCCAGCTACTTGGGAGGCTGAGGCAGGAGAATGGCATGAACCAGGGAGGCGGAGCTTGCAGTGAGCTGAGATCCGGCCACTGCACTCCAGCCTGGGCGACAGAGCAAGAATCCACCTCAAAAAAAAAAAAAAAAATTGGTGGGGTATTAGTACCAGCTACTCAGGAGGCTGGGGAGGTTGAGGCTGCAGTGAGCTATGACTGTGCCACTGCACTCCTGTCTGGGTGACAGAGGGAGACCCTGTCTCTGAAATACCGGTCCTCTCTACCACCTACTCTTGGCTAGGAAGCAGTTGAGGCAGGAGAGTTACTCTAGGCCCCCACCTGAACAGCACCTGCCCACCTTACTAAAATTGAGTCGTGGTCCACGGCCCTCCATTACTAGACAATGCTCCTACCTCAAGGTAGGCAAGGTCTGCCTTGGCCAGGCCCTTCCCAAGCCAGCCAGGGCTTTGCCAAACATGCACCCATGCCCCGCACCTTGCCCACTCAGCTCTTGTCTACTAAGTCAATTTTAACACTACCCAACGGCAAAAGTACAGGAGCACCTCCCCAGAATCAGGATCTGCTTGTCAGGAAGCAGCAGCCCTCCTAGCCATGAGGGGCACCTAACATCTCGTTTACAAGCAGTTGTTAAAAGAAAGCCACATGTTGTGTAAATGCTTGATTTCTTCCATCTTGGGAAAAAAAAATGATGCTCCTTTACCTAACCAATAACAGCCAGACTTTCAAGGTTTCTGCCTGGTTGGAAAAAGGACATTTTTAGCAAGTGAGGGGAAAAAACTGGCATCCTATTTCTAATCATCACCAGCTTTTAAAATAACTTCACTCATCCCAGAATTAAAATTACAGTAGACTCTTCCATTTCAGTGGGGCTTCCCAAATTTAAAATTGTTACATTCCATGAGCAGCTAAAAAGAACTCAAAAATAAAGGCAAGCATTAAATATTACGTAAGGTTTTCTTTTATTTAAAAGATCATTCACAAAATACCATATCCATAGATTTACTTTCTGTCATATAGCTGAATGTGTTAAGTGTTTGGAATTCCATTCTTACATTTAAAAGTCAACTGGATTGCCCAGAGGTTTAGATGCATTTGTTTTGTTCTTTATCTTATCCACACTGAAGATGTAAGTAGGTCATCTGAAAGCATCGGGGTTGATTGCAACCACATAATGCATGTCTTTCTGAAGTTGAGTATTGGTGTTACACAAATGGTTCTTATCTTGGAAGCAGAGAAGCTGACAGGTGGAAGGAAGGAGAGAGTGAGTTCTGTGGATTGCTGAGGCCTTTTAACAAAGACACAGTAGGAAAAGCCAAGGATGACAGCTGGTGACCAACTACTAAGCACACTCCTCTGGGCGCTCCAGGCCACCCTGGCCCGGCCATCACCTGGCGAGGGCCTCTTTCCCAGGCTCCTGCTGCCCGCCGCCCCCAAACTGCTCCCCATAGGACAGACTGGGACTTGGGTACTGAAGGATTTTTCATTTGTTCACACACAGACGTTCAAGCTCAAAAGCCTAACCCCTAGCACTCCCAAGTAAGTGCTGAACTCTGCACATGGGAACAATCCAGTGTGTCCCCAAGATGTGGCCACAGACCTAGACAGCTGCAGTCCTCTACGGCTATCTGAAGGTTCCTGACAGCTCTGCATAGTACAATTTAATTTAATCAAAGGAAATGAGTAAAGTGCCAGATTCTAGACCCATTTTGGCTCTGAACTGAAGGGGAGGTGGGAAGCACAGTATCTCATTATGTTGCCTATACTAGGAACAGATCAACACAAACACACAGGCAACAGGGATGGGGGGAAACGCCGCGTCAGCGCTGCAGTCAGCCCAGCGCAGCGCCAGCACCACCCCCTCCACCCCCAAAGCGCCTTGGCCCAGCAGAAAAGAACCCAGCTGGCCGTTCGCTGCACCCTGCCAGAGAGGGGAGCCTTGACCACGCCCGGTGAAAGGAGTGAACTAGCTGGACCACCGCCTCAAAACAGCAGTAACAAACACGTGTGAATGCATGCAAGCATTCACTGTATCTTCTCCGTGGACTCCATACCGCTCTTCTATGGCCCCCACTTTCAGTCTGTTTCTCGTGTGAGCCCATCTGCTTGGACAGTTCACTGGGGAGGGGGCCATGGAGCCAGGACTCCCTCCAAATAGGAATGGAAAGGACCTTGCAGATACTTTTATCCTAGTTGTGAAAACAAGGTGCCTCCGATTCTCTTTATTCATCACAGCCAGATACCAACAAGGTCCCTGCCGTTCCCTGTCAGTGACTCTGGTTTTTGTTGGAAGCCCCAGCAATACAGAACTCAACATGCAGGTGAGAAGAGAAGCACTGAGGAAATGAAAGGAAACGCCTGGAGTTGGGCCACTGTCTAAAGTAAAACGAGAAAGCAAAGGAGAAAAATGACGCAGCACCGCAGCCCAAACGCCCCCCGCTGACGGCGGCCACCTCCGCTCCTCCAAGGAACCCCATGTGCTGCTGGGAAAACAAGGAGCAGGAGGAAAAGGACAGAAGGAAAATGGGGAAGCAGCGGAAGAAAGAAAAAAACGCACAAACAGGCACTAGATAGATACAGCAAAGCCCAGAATGTACTAAAAACCACTTGTTAACAGCTGACATGCACTCACAAGCTGTGTTTCCGCTGTGAGGAGGCCAATGGCAGGTGCGGGAGTGGCGGCTGCAGGACGGCTGCCCAGGGACTCACCAGGCTGTGGTCCTGCTCTAACCGCCCACGCCCCATTCCCTCCCAGCCGCAGGCTCATTCTTGCTCCTTTTGAACGACTTCCTCTCTAGGTCTGGCACCCCCGAAGATAGCAGAGTTGGGATTGGCTACTTGATTGAGGGGAGTCGCGACTGTTCGAGGTTTAAGCTGGAGTCGTGGTCTCTGTGCTCTTTCCTCTGGAGGAGAAAAAGCAGAGTTCGTCAGAGTGTGGATCCCATTCCACATCCAGCAAAACGATCACGCTGATGTTGCTGTCAGCAACCCAGCCCACTTTCTAAAATTCACCTGGCCTGCTACCCCATCAGCAGACGCTCTAATGACCAAAGTGAACTTGCTATTCT